TAGAAGACAGATAGAAAGTGAATAACGCATACAGTCTCACATCAGCTCCATGACAGAGTAATTATTAACCTCTCAGTGGGCTAAAAAGGGAAGTCATTTCTAAAGTAATATCAAACCAGTCATTAAAATGTCAGGAAAATAATCTAAGGAAGTTTTATGCATTAAATTGGAAGCAGAGTGGCGGAATATCAAAAGTGATTAAATACCTGCTGAACACCTGCATGCTAGAAGTGCCAGGATCATAATCTGTGCACAGGAAGAGAAAGTTTTATCTTTTATTCCCATGATGGAAATCTGTTTGGACCCACGTGGAGTAAAGAGCAGTTCTGAAACTAAACTGCGACACCTGCTCTAATATATGACTGTAATCTTCCTGAATCACTCAGACACGCCTACTGTTAGTTTGCATGTTTCAAGGTAGATGGTATGGAATTTATTTTTTATTGATCTTATCAAGGTGTTTATTGGTAAGATAATGGCTAGGTCTATAGTCCTGTGGCCGGTTTCATAAACTGCTTGGACTAGTTTTACAAGGCATCTAATTTTTCTTCTTCTTTAAGACTGGCCATAAATGTTATATTGATTAAAAAATAATTATATAAAAATAATTACATAAAAATATAGAGTAGCCTAATTTGAATCTGATAAGCAATACTGATTAACCCCTGGTTAACTGCTAACTGATCAAAATAGTTATTAAGAAACATTCTTGACAGTCATAGTGAGCATATTTATGCAAATGGCCCTTAGTTTTATGTCTTAGGATGATATAACATGTTTTAGTCCAAGAAGAAATTTAACTGAAAAGAAGAAATGGTCCATATGGTCCAAATGTGGATATTATAAAGGCTTTGTAAAGTGGTTTGAAAGGCACTATTCTTTGTTCCTAAAGCTGCTTTACAACACACTGTAAAACAAGGTATTAAGAAAACTTCAACAAAACTTGAATTCAGATGCATTCAGATTTTTAGGTTTTCTCAACTGTTATCTTAAAAATTGTCCTAAGCAAAACTACTTTGTTTTGTCAATTTGAATTTGTTTGTTCCCTCCGTGCAAAATGTACATTACATTTACATTTAATCATTTAGCATACGCTTTTATCCAAAGCAAGTATACAACAGTATACAAGTGCTGTAACAAGTCTCAGTTAGTCTAGCACAGTACACATACCAGTTTCTTTCTTTCTGTCTTTCTTTTTTTTCAGAAAAAGAGACCACTAGAATAAGAAAATGTTAGCATTAGTTAGTCAAGTGCTGATGAAAAAGATGTGTCTTTAGACGTTCTTTGAAGATGGCCAAAGAAAGCTGCTCGAATTGAGATAGGCAGGTCGTTCCACCAGCTTGGAACTGTCCAGGTAAAGGTCCGTGAGAGGGATTTCGTGCCTCTTTGGGATGGTACCACGAGGCGTCGTTCACTTGCAGAACACAAGCTTCAGGAAGGGCGCATAAGTCTGAACTATTGAGTTTAGGTACTTTGGTGCAGAGCCAGTGGTTGTCTTGTAGGCAAACATCAGTGGCTTGAATTTGATGCAAGCGGCTATCGGCAGCCAGTGCAAACTGATGAAGAGAGGTGTGACATGCGCTCTCTTCAGCTCATTGAAGACCACTCTTGCCGCAGCATTCTGGATCAGTTGCACAGGCTTGACGGTACACGCCGGAATGTCTGCTAAGAGAGCATTACAATAGTCCAGTCTGGAGAGAACAAGAGCTTGGACAAGGAGTTGTGTGGCCTGCACTGCTAGGAAGGGTCTAATCTTCCTAATGTTGTATAAAGCAAATCTTCAGGACTGGGCCGTTGTAGTAATATGGTCTGTGAAGCTTAGCTGATCATCAGTCACAACTCCAAGGTTCCTGCTGTCCTAGAAGGAGTTATGGTTGACGAACCTAGCTGTATAGAGAAGTTGTGATGAAGTGCTGGGTTGGCTGAGACCACAAGCAGTTCTGTCTTCGCAAGGTTGAGTTGAAGGCGGTGGTCCTTCATCCAGCCAGATATGTCTGTCAGACAGGCTGCAATGTGAACAGCTACCGTTGGATCATCTGGTTGGAATGAGAAGTTGAGTTGAGTGTCATCAGCAAAGCAATGATAGGAAAAGCCATGTTTCTGGATGACAGATCCTAATGATGACATGTAGATGGAGAAGAGAAGCGTAAAGAAGCAAATAAGAAACAAAATGCCTCATTCAGCCAATAAATTCATCAAAGCAACTACAGATTTCTTGTTCAACAACACATTTTCATCTATTAACACAGTAAATTGATGTATAATTTTGGTAGCCATATAGGCCTATATTATATACTATATGTGAAGTATGCTATATTTGTTAAATACATTGAATACATTGTAACCATGCTATATTTGTTACTTTTCAAAGCAAAGAAAGTTTAGAAGCTCTTAACATTACTTCACAACAAATAACTATAAGGACAAAACAACAACAAAGTAAAAAAGTCTGCAAACAGGCAAAACAATAATCCTATAATAACCACTTAATTTATTAATGCTGCAAAGTATGCTGGGAACTCACAACCCCTTAAGTTTTCAATTATATTGTTCCATTTGAAATGCTTTGTTCAAACAACTGCTTTTGACTAGCTGGGACAACATTTGGGGAATTCTGTGTGGTTTTTATGTCAATTCACATTTCTTAGTATTTGTGACTTAAAAAGTCAAGTAAACTAGAATATATACAGTTGTGCACATAAGTTTACATACCCCTTGCAGAATATGCAAAATGTTCATAATTTTAACAAAATAAGAAGGATCATGAAAATTGCATGTTTTTTTTATTTAGTACTGTCTTGAATAAGCTATTTCACATAACGGATGTTTATATACACTCCACAAGACAAAATAATAACTGAATTTGTAAAAAGACCCTTTCAAAAGTTTACATACCCTTGAATATTAATACTGTGTGTCATTTCCTGGATGATCCACGACTGTTTTTATGTTTTGTGATAGTTGTTCATGAGTCCCTTGTTGGTCCTGAGCAGTTCTTCTGAAAAATCCTCCAGCTCCTGCACATTCTTTGGTTTTCCAGCATCTTCTGCATATCTGAAGCCTTTCTAGCAGTGACTGTATGATATTGAGATCCATCTTTTCAATCTGAGGACAATTGAGGGACTCATACATAACAATTACAAAAGGTGAAAATATTTACTGATGCTCAAGAAGTCAACACGATGCATTAAAAGCATTACACATTTGAACAGGATGATGATGTGTACATTTGTCTTATTTTGATTAAAGATCATATTTTTTTCATTTACTGCGCTTCAGAAGCTACATAAATACATACATGTTTCCCAGAAGACAAAATAAGGACAATTTACCCTGATCCTCCAATTCAAAAAGTCTACACCCCCCGGCTCTTAGTGCATCATGTTTCCTTCTTGAGCGATATGTATTGTGAAAATCACTATACAAATAACTGAAAAATTGTTTCTTTCATCTTAAATGAGTTCTGACTGAAAACTTCAATTTCCGTGCTAATTATCCCAGTGCCAAAGTGAAGAAAACCTATATTTAAACAGTTTTTGTTGTCATTAGTGTGTGTGTTTGAAGGTTCAGGAGTGCAGATCTTGAATCTGATTAGATATGATTAGAAATGCTGAGAATGATGAAAGTCATTAAGGTTTCTGAAGATTTACAGCTTCTCTGATTGTTAAGATAAACATCTCACCGTGAGGTTACTAAACACTAGAAGATAACTAATTTGTGTAACATTGCATGTGCATTTACAGCTCAAAATGATTGACATGTGAATGAGATGATTGATGGCTGAAATGTTAATTAAGTCCCTATTACTAGGGTTAGGCTATGAGTATTGTCATGTTTATATAAATGAAATTATAAAACCAAAGTTTGGCTTTCTGGTTGCAATGATAATCGAGTGGCTGAGTGGTAAAGGTCAAAGCCTACCTGTGTGGATTTGATTGCTGGTGGTCTATGGATCAAAAGGTCAGATCTCAAAATGCTTTCAAAGGCTATACCAAAAATCTGAAATACTGAACGTAAAATTGTCATAAACTTCCAAAAAACGATAAGCACTATGGAGTGCTTTATAATGAGTTTAACCACTATATTTCTGGGCTAAGATGGGTTTAGTTATGGTTCATATATGATTATGATGTATTTAGCCATAATAAATAAAGTATCAAATCATAGTTTATTTGTTTGTGACTGCGCTAAGGTGCCAGTTTGGATGTCTGTTAAGCCTTATTGTGGAGCCTGAAAGTATGAATGTTTTGTCTCAGAATGTGAACTAAATGCAATATAAATCTTGCATTCAAGATTGTGATTATATGACAAGCAGTTAAATTTATCAATGGGAACAAATGATAAATTTAACAACACATCATAATATGATTCTACAATCAGTCATAAATAAAATAATTTTATTTCATGAGATGTAATGTCTCCATTTTTATTTTTTATTATAAGTGCATTTTTTTCTGTTGTCATTATGGGGAGTTTTGCACTGTACAATTTCAAGGACATTTTAAAAATTGCTTGTGAATTATATACATATTTCTAAACATTTAGAGAACTGCTGTTTTTTGACCCCTTTGTTCTTTTATGTTCAACAGAAGAAAGAACTGAATACAGGTTTGGAACAACTTGAGGGGTGAGTAAATGATAACAGATTTTCATTTTTGGGCGAACAATCCTTTTGAACTGTTCCTAGTTTACAAAGACGAAAAGTGTTACAAGAAATAGCACATCCACCAGCAGATGGCGCTAAGAGACTGGAATTAGTAGACTTTATTACGCACTGCAAACGTCTACTGTGACAAACCAGCGCCATCTATTGATTCACCTCGGAACACCTGCTGCCTCACACGAGTCAATAGATGGCGCTGTTTCGCCAGTTTAAGCCGATGGTGGAGGCTCAATGGGGTGGAGGAGAGAGGAGAGCGCGAGGAGAGCCCCGGGTCCACACATCACTGGATGCGGCAGCGGCATGTGGACGACAGACACACCGGAGACGTGTGCGGGGACTTTATGCTGACGTCCGGGCTCTCATAGGAGCGCATGACCCGCCGTGATGGCCGGGGGACGCAGAGGACTTGTGGCCCCACAAAACACTTTTCTGGAAAATATTGTCCGACGGTCTAACGGTAAGACGCACCACCACATCCAAAGCAGCGCACTTACAAAAAGAGTATCAGCGGTAGTGTCGCAGATCAAGAAAATAAAGAAACAACTTTTGGGTAGGCTACTTAAGAGACTTAACTTAGAAGAAACCTTTACATAAAAACAACATACTTTTGACTATATACTTAAATAACTACACAAAATAGAAAGTTAAAGGTGTCTGTCACGCGAGGGGGGAAACGCTATGCAGGTGCATAGTGAATGTTTTACAATAGAGCATTTATTCGTTTTTTCTTACTTGAATTGACGGAGCAAACGTTAAACAAACAGTTCTAGTTTTTCTAGATTTTTGACATTTATTTTTATATTATAATTATTATAAAAAGACTTAATGGGCTGCAGGAACAGAGATGCTGTTCTGTATTCGCTGCGTGACACCAAGTGCTGCTCTTTCCCCATTTGAGTTGTTCTCATACATCCTTCCATCAGCATGCTTTGTGGGATAGAGAACAACTTTAGGTTAAATTAATATTTAATAGCAATTCATATTTTAAGAGTGCTGAAAGGTTGAAAACTGGCTGAGGATCTTCACCAGCACTATCTGTGAGATCAGACTGTGTTCTTGCACCCTCTGTAAGGTCCTTAAAATAGAACCCAAGATCCCCTTTATTGATGTATATCCAATAGGGCTGCTTTTCTTATTCGTGCAGTTTCGTTGCATGCATATGGCCATTTGAAACTAATTGAACAGCAGATGTCCACAACTGCTTAGTGGAAACCACCTCTGCCTTGTCTTTTTGAGCATTGAACCCCAGTTGAGAGATCTTTAAGCTTTAAAAAATATCAAAAAGATGTACTTTTCCATTTAAGTAGGACTTCTATTAACCTCTGAAAACATTGATGTCTGAATGGCCTGCTTGGGTTACTATAGGGTTACTGGGCGTTTTGGAGAAGAACAGGAGGATGAATTCCTCTTCCTCTATGGTGTTTGTGTATTATTTTAACTCTTTTTCTGTTTTCTTTAACTTCCAGTTTGGACATTATCACATAGACACACAGGTATAAACCTTCACCAAGCAGAACACTTGTGCTTTAACCTATTCCATCCCTCCATTATCTCTCTTTCACTATCTTTTGCTTTCTGTCTTTCCTTCCCTCCCTCCCTTTCTCTCTCTCTCTAGTTCCCTTTCGACATTTAATATTGTTCTATAACAATTTTTGTTAATTTACAAACGGATAGTCTGAATTTGAATGAAAACCTTGATTAAACTCCTTTGTGGTTTAGTGTTAAAGTGGTTTAACAGTGCTGTTGATATTTCAAAGCTGCTTAGTTATGGTGAAAATAACAATGCAGATGTTGCTACCTGGTCCTCATTCAGTGCTGACAGCACTTGCTGTAAAATAACAAATGTTGGCATGGAACGTTTTTCCTCCATAGTGGTGCGTGTGAGTCCACATGTGTGTGTGTGTGTGTTTGTTTCAGTGTGTGGAGTGAACTTCCCGTGTTTATGCTCAGTAGAGGAGAACTGTGCTCTGTGGCAAATCCACCACCATGCTCTTAAATCAATTGATATCATAGATCTGAGTTTTCCTTCACTTCTGATTCTGATGCTGCCCTTCCACATTTGCTCATCTCATATTTACCCTCCGCATTAGCCATAGAAAGATTAAATGTCTGTATGTGTTTCCTTCATATGTGCAGTCAAAGTGAAAAATGTTGCCAATGAATGAAAGAGGTGAAGGACATATTTTATAATGAAAAACAAAAAATATCAGAGCTGATTGTATTTTATTTTAGATCAAAATACAGTGGGGGTCAAAAGTCTGGGATTTAAAATCAAATTTAAACCTTGAAATAATCAGGAATGAAAAAAAAAAAAGATAAATATGAAATGTTTTCGAGTCTGAACTATTTCTAAGTAAACAAACATTGATCACACAAAATCCTTAATTTTATGAACCCTACTGTATGTAAATATGTAAATAAAGGCTGCGAGATTGATGAAAGTCATGATACTGTTTACAGTTGACATATTACGTAAGGACAACGCTTATATAAAGGCAATTTCTTGCTTTTAAATACTGGAAAGGTCTTCACTGTCCCTCATTTGTGACAGACTACAGTTTCTAATTCTTTTATATCAGATTACAGGTTGTATAGTGTTACTGTGAGCTTGCTCAAGCTTTGAGATACACTTTGTTAAAAGTGCTACTGGCTTACTCAGCAGCCGCTAAATCACTACTGTCAGCTAATCAGCCTGATAGTCTGCTTAACACACTAGCCACTAACACACTAACATTGACAGACATCAGAGGAAAGGTTAAAGCAATGTTACAGAGATGGAGCCCGTTACAGATGACCCTGGCACAGAGAGTTTTCAACAGACTTTTTAATAACACACACAGGAGTAAAAGTGAAAATGGCTGTGATACTCCAGAACAACACAAACTGACTGTCTGCAAAGACACCTGTTGTGCATTTGGACAATGAAAAGATTAATAAGAGACATAGCAGAGTGCTTGAAAGTTTTGTGAAGATGTTAAAGGTATCAGGTTGTGTGTTTTAGCTACTTTCTCACAGTATTATGGGTGTCAGAGAAGAATTTTGATACACTACTGTTAAAAAGTTTGGGGTCCGTACGATTTTTAAACTGTTTTTGTAAGAAATCTCTTGCTCACCAAGGCTGCATTTACAGTATTTGATCAAAAATACAGTAAAACCAGTAATATATATTTTTTATGTGATGACAAAGCTGAATTTTTAGCAGCCATTACTTCAGTATCATATGATCCTTCAGAAATCATTCTAATTTGCTGATTTGGTGCTCAAGAAACAGTTACTATTATTACCAATGTTAAAAATGGTTGTGCTTAATATTTTTGTGGAAACTGTCAAACTTTTTTTTTAGGATTCTTTGATGAATAGAAAGTTAATTTTGTTTTGTAACATTTTGTACCATGTCTTTTTTTGTAACTTCTGATCAATTTAATGTGTCCTTGCTGAATAAAAGTGTTAATTTATGACCCCAAACTTTTGAACATAGAGTAATGTAAAACATAAGCTTTCGTATTTCAGATTATACTGGCCAAAAACCAAACAGGGATGGGATACATGTGTATGACCAGCCACAACTATTTATTTTGGTGGGATAAACAGGACAGTTTTTTTTTTTGGCTTCAAAACTGATGTAACAGTGATAGTTTAGGTGGAATATACAGGTGTGATCAAGCATATCTCATTTACTTGCTTTAAAGTGTCTCAAACAAAACTCTTGAATATCTTGAAAATATTTGATACTACAACTGAACTTTGGCAAATCCAGCAATTAGTTATTTCCTAGACTTGCAAACACAAACCTATGAACCCTGACTTCCAGTAATTACAGAGAACCCAGTTAATTATATTTAAACAAATGTTTTGCACTGCAGCCAGATTTTAAAATTCTTTTTGCTATATGGATCACAACAGTCTGTAGGTTTGAGGCTGAGACTACCATGTTTCTTTTTGTTCACCGTAACAAGAAAAACCCCTATAAGGCAGGGAACTGTACCTGGACAAGTGGATCTCAGAAGGAACATAGAGATAAACTTGTTATTTTAGTTTGAATGGGGTTGTAGGATAATGTGAGAGTGGTTCGTGTGTTGAAGCAACACTACTGTGCATAACCATCTCAGGTACAGACTGATCAATTTGAAGCTGAAATACTGAGTGTTGTCATAAACATGTCAGATCAGTGGCTTTTAGCTGCCGTGACAATGTCCACCCATCCTGCCTCATGTGACATTACCATAGCGACTGACCTCTAGTTTTCTTACTGTTGACCTTGTGCCTGGTTCCTCTCACCTGTTTCCTCCCCATACCCTCCTGTGCTCTTTCCACAGACACAAACTTTGTGTTGGGAAATGCCCAGATCGTAGACTGGCCCATCGTTTACAGTAATGATGGCTTTTGTAAGCTGTCCGGCTACCACCGTGCTGAGGTCATGCAGAAAAGCAGCACTTGCAGGTATCAGACTTCATGCAGAGATGGTTTCATGTACTAGTTTTTATATCACATCATATTGATCATATTTTCTTTATAAGAGAGAGGCTGGCAGAGAGAGAGCTGCAAGTTCCTGTAGAAAGGCGCTTGAATTCAGTATACATGCAATTGACCATTTACAGTATTAAATGCCGCATTAGACAGCACAATATACAAGATAGTACAATATTTTGTAGTAGATATTATATACAAGATAGTACAATATTGTTTGTAATGAAGTATGCCCACAATACAACCCAGTATACGTACAGTACAATATTGTATTACAATATGCAATACAATACAGTATATAGTACTACACTACACTATGTAGAGTGGAATATGGGGAAGTAAGAGTGCAAAATAATTTAATAATAAATATATTTTTTAAAGAAATACTAGTAAGGATGCATTAAATTGATCAAAAGTGACAGTAAATAAATGTATACTGTTACAAAATATTTATATTTCAAATATGATATATGCTGTTCTTTTGAAATTTCTATTCATCACAGAATCCTGAAAAAAAGTATCATATTTTTCACAAATATTTTTAGCACCAAATCAGTATATTAGAATGATTATTTGACACCGAAAACTGGAGTAATGACTGCTAAAAAAATCCTGCTTTGCCATCACAGAAATAAATTACATTTTAAAATATATTTAAATTGTAATAATCTTTCTCAATATTACAGCTTTTACTGTAATTTGGATCAAATAAATACAGCCTTAGTGAACATAAGAGTCTTCTTCAAAAACATAAAAAAAATCGTATCAACGGCAACTTTTGAACGCTAGTGTATGTAGCAGAAAAAACACAGTCAAATGTTTTTTCTGTTACATATGCCTTATGTAATTTTTCTAAATTTCCTGTGGCAGTTTTTACATATGATAAATGTCAGAAATGGAGTTGTAAGTGTGAAAGTGGCTGCCTTCTGTGGGGTTAGTTAGAGCCAGCAAGTTTTGAACTCTTACTGTTCCTTGATATGCCAAACACAAGACAAGCTCATTAGCGTTACAGCTCCAGATGTCTCAAAGAGAAATACATTTGTAGAGTCTCTCGAATGTATCATTCCTCCCTCTCTGCCTCTCTCATTACAGTAAAGCAAAGCTGGACTAGCTTTCAGTAAACTTTTGATTTTATCCGCTCATCATGACTCAAAAGATCCACTAAGCAACAGACCCACCCATTATTTCCCTTGTGAAGTCTCTAGAGATCAAAAAGTTAAATGGAAGGTAAAAATGAATGTTATGACCATTTAACTACACCAAGGTTGTTCTGATTTTCAACCCATATGACTTACTTTCTTCTGTGGAGCACAAAGATTAGAAATATAGCATTGGACATTTTTCCACTCAGTGAAAGTGAATGGTGACCGGTGCTGCGTAGCAATAGCATATGTTATAAATTATGCTCTTGTATGTTTTCGGAAGACATAACGCATGATTAATATGTCCTATTATGGTACTTTTTTGTCATTTTTGGAATGGTCACTTGTATTTTATTCAAAAGAGCAGCATCAACATTCTGATAAACTTCTCCTTTTGTGTTCTACAGAAAAAAGAAAGTCAAATGGATTTAGAATGACATGAGTTGATGACAGAATTAAAAAATTTTTTATGTCAACCTTTAAAATGAAGTCAAATGAAATTCTCAAAAACTGCTTGAAAACTGTCTGCCTCTGACTGCGATTTACATTTATTTTCTCTCTCAGCTTCATGTACGGAGAGCTCACAGATAAGGACACATGTGAGAAAGTTCGGTTGACTTTCGAGAACTATGAAATGAACTCATTTGAGATCTTGATGTACAAGAAAAACAGTGAGCATAGCACACACACACACACACACACACACACACACACACACACACACACACACACACACACACACACACAACTGTGTTGTGAGAACTGGGAGCAGGAACACAGCAGTCCTGGTGCATAAATTTGTTATGCTAATCTTAATGAATATGCATAAATGTGTAAAACAGAGGCAATACAGTTTTTTCTTCAATAAAAAAAAATCACTTTTTTTTCCTCTGACATGTTATATATCAATGATTTACAGGCACGGTTTTGTTTTTCCAGGAACGCCGGTTTGGTTTTTTGTGAAAATAGCGCCTATACGAAATGAACAGGAGAAGGTTGTGCTCTTCCTGTGTACGTTTAGTGACATTACAGCATTCAAACAACCAATTGAAGATGATTCCTCCAAAGGTATGTGTTGTTCAGATGTATTTTATTAACATGTTAGTGTATTTCAGTGAAATTAAGAGTGAATGTTGAATGTGTGTTATATCTGTGTTCAGGATGGGGGAAGTTTGCTCGTCTGACTAGGGCTCTGACCAGCAGTAGAGGGGTCCTGCAACAACTGCAGCCCACTGTACATAAAGGAGAGAATGTACATAAACACTCGCGCCTTGCAGAGGTACGTATCTGTGTGTCAGTCTGATACATTTCATTTTATGCCTGTGAGTGATTCTGGTGTGCATCAGCAAATGTTTGCTTCTATCCGTGTCAAAGATCAAACTAACAGTAGGAAGGCTATCCTTCACACTGTGTGTTTCCAGTCCTCCTGCAGGGAGATTAATAAGATATATGGGGCATTTTTTAATAGTTTACAAACCAGGGTCAGAAATTAACAGAACTTTGTGACAAAAGTGCCACCAAATGTGAAGAAAAGACCCAGAAATTAATTATTTAATCCATGGTGACAGTAAGCTATAAATAACAATATAATATGAGCAATATAAACTGACTACTGTATATAATCTGCTCCAGCTAATCATTTGCAATAAACAAGTAAAGGGAGAATGTACAGTCCAGCGTATCGGATGACTAAACAAACAAATAAATAAATAAATAAATAAATAAGAGTTATTTACATTTTTTATTATTATTATATTAATTGTAGAGATTGCAGAGAGACTGTTATACAGTGTTGTGATTGACAACGGTCATTATTCAGAAATATTTCAAAGGATTCCAGAGTCATGTACTAATAAATGATATGTAAATAATAATAAAAAAAGTAATTAATATATTTAAATGAAATGGTTACATTTCAATGGTTAAATTTTAAATACATTTGAATGAATTAAGTTAATATATTGATATACATATATTTTTAAAAGAAATCCATAAAGTGTTTGGGAATTTTTCTATGTGGTATCTGGACATAAACGTTACAGTAAAAATACATATAAATTAAAATTTTTATTCAACACATTATTTAATTAATTGAAATTATTTTTAGTGTTAGTTAAAGGGTGAGTTCACCCAAAAATGAAAATTAGGCTGCGTTTTACTCACCCCCGAGGCATCCTAGGTGTATATGACTTTCTTCTTTCATACGAATCCAGTCGGAGTTAGATTAAAAATTGTCTTTGATCTTTCAAGCTCTGTCATTACTATTCAAAACATAATAATCACTTGAATCTAGCTTGAGCTCACTGTTGTAAATGGAAGCAGTTCCGGGGGAATTACGTATAAGGTCAGCTTTGTGCATTAGATGTTACCTGAAGGTAACATCTGTAACAATTTTTTGCAGTGTATGTTTCCATTCATTTTTCATTAATATGTAATGTTAATATACATTTATTCTAGGATGGTTTATCCAAAATGTCCGTTAAAAATCTATTTTAGTCAGTGACAAGGCTTCATCTGTATCTGTTAAACAGACGAGATGAGATGTTTAACAGGATGTGATTTTTCTTTGAGGTGAGTCTCCTGTAAGCCGAGATGGGTCATTGCTCTTCCTCTCAACTCAGATAAACAACCATCTGCTGCCTCTCTCTCTGTCTCTCTCTCACACAGGTTCTCCAGCTGGGCTCAGACATCCTGCCCCAGTACAAACAAGAGACGCCCAAGACCCCTCCTCACATCATCCTGCACTACTGTGCCTTTAAGACCACCTGGGACTGGGTCATCCTCATTCTCACCTTCTACACCGCCATCATGGTCCCCTACAATGTCTCGTTCAAAACCAAGCAGAACAACATCACCTGGCTGGTTGTGGACAGCATTGTGGATGTGATCTTTTTGGTAGACATTGTACTGAATTTCCACACCACGTTCGTGGGCCCAGCCGGGGAAGTGATATCAGACCCAAAACTGATTCGCATGAATTACATGAAAACCTGGTTTGTGATTGACCTGTTGTCCTGTCTGCCTTATGATGTCATCAACGCCTTTGAGAACGTGGACGAGGTCAGTACAACGCACAAGTTTATTTACACACACACACACACACAAACATGAAACAGTGATCAATAATCAATTATTGGATCTGTTATGGCATTGTTTTTATTCTTGTTTTCCAGTATGCTGAAGTTTATTACAATGTTTAAAGTAAGACGATGTGTATAGGAAGTGTTAAAATAAAGCGGCAGACTGCAAGAATTTAAGAGAGAGGAACATATACTTTATGTAAGATGTGCCAAGTTAAGGAGTTTGCAAGTGAACAAAGAGCATTTTTTAAATATTACAAATATAGCCAAGGTGAAATCCGTTATTTTTGCTACTCTATAGTGCCACATAGTGTCCTAGCATTACAGTGCAATTGCAAAAATAATGACTGTCTGCAAACAGGTTTTCCGTTCTGCCATTGGTCAGGCAAGCAGATAATTCCGCCTCAAACACATGGGGCAACCTGGAAATTAGCATCCCCCTGGTTCTCTCAAAGAAAAGACAAAAAAAGGGCAAAAGGTTATATATAATATAATATAATAGATAGGGGTGACCCTGAATAGTCGAAGATTCGATGCTTCGATAGGAGGAGCCTGATTCGACTACCAGTCTCACAGTGGAATATTCGCGGGGTGTTATGATCATGCCATTTTGGCTATGTGGGGGTGCTCAAATGTCTGATTTCACATAGAACTACTGGTTTTCTCCCAATAAGTTAATATACCGCCTATTAAAATAATGCTGTAAATAAGAATCTGAAAAAAAAGAAGCATCAAATAAATGTTTTAACATGCGTGAATAAATCCAACCACCGCTATGGATTTAAGTTTCACTTTCTATAATCCGTGACCGACAGAGGAGCATCTTGGCAGCAGGGATTTAAAACTTTTAACAAGACTCAAATTGACACAGGCAGAGTGAAAGACTGGATTTTTTCGATCAGGTAGGGTACAAGTGATTTCAAAACATTTCAGCCGGTTTATATATATATATATCGTGTATATATTATTTATCTTGTATAAGATGCATTTGGTTGAGTTGCGCTGCAGTAAAGCGCTTCATTGTAGTACTACGGTGCTTATCTCTTCAGCGCGCAGCGCAAGCAGGACAAACAACAATGCAGAATATTAATCAAATAAATGTTTTAACATGCGTGAATAAATCCAACCACCGCTATGGATTTAAGTTTCACTTTCTATAATCCGTGACCGACAGAGGAGCATCTTGGCAGCAGGGATTTAAAACTTTTAACAAGACTCAAATTGACACAGGCAGAGTGAAAGACTGGATTTTTTCGATCAGGTAGGGTACAAGTGATTTCAAAACATTTCAGCCGGTTTATATATATATATATCGTGTATATATTATTTATCTTGTATAAGATGCATTTGGTTGAGTTGCGCTGCAGTAAAGCGCTTCATTGTAGTACTACGGTGCTTATCTCTTCAGCGCGCAGCGCAAGCAGGACAAACAACAATGCAGAATATTAATAACTATGACTGGGACTGTCATATACATAACAATTATAATGAGATGACTATTATAATAAAACGCTGTGAATTTTTATAGTTTAGTTACTGTATTTCTGCACGCTCTTACGTGAAGAACGCGTGCACAAAAGGAGTTCATTCAGAGCCACGCAGACATGTTCATGTGCATTCGGGCCCTTTTTGCAGATAGCCTATAAGTCGTAATATTAACATTATGTTGTATAAATAACTAAGCGTATTCTATATGAGATAACTGATGAGGTTTAAAACATTGATTAAAAACCTGCTGCTTCATTCTACTGGTCATCTTCAGCGCGCAGCTCAAAACAGAAATGCAGAACATTAATAACTACTGTCATACACATAACGTTATAATGAGAGCACTATTGTAAACATTTTTGTGAATTCTTAGGGTTTCACTGACCTTTAATGTTAACTGTCTTTTAATCAAAACATGAAACATTCTTTACCTGTTTGTATCTGCGAGGCGTCCATTACACATTTTCCCTGTGTGTTAACGTAATTATGACTGTCGAATGTCTGACTTGGTAATGTATTTTGCCCCGCTCCCAAATCAAATGATTCGGCTATCAGTCGAATATCGGCAAGATTCGAAAATTCAGATTCGACTATGAAAATCATTAGTCAGGGACAGCCCTAATAATAGGTTTAATAGATTTTCCCATGGCTTTTGGATTATTTCAGAAAAATAAACTCTGTGGCTGAGGAAAGTTCATGATTCTTACACATTCTGTTCTTTAAGGTAATTTTCACAAATTTTACACAACTTTTATGAATTTTGAAGCTAAAGTTAGGCCATAAATGAATTACAAAACAGTCACATGACATCATCACTGCAGTGAAGCTTCTGACAACTCTTTCAATCTTTATTTAAAATCTACTATTTTGATGAGTTTATCTCTGTAGTCACATTTAGCCTTTAGTCACTTGTTAGCAACCTTGATTTTTTAAGACACAAAGGCTTAAAAAAATCATGAGTGGGTTATATTTGATGTATTTTATCTCATGGAATAAAACATGAAAATATCTTGAGCTTGCGTTAACCACAGACAGGGGCGATTCTAGGATTTTCATTTTAGGGGGGCTCAGCCCCCAATGAGGGTATAATATATATATATATATACACATGCACTGAAAAATGTATTACATTGAAAGTTAAATTTTCAAATGAAACTGGCAACATGATCATTTTATACAGTATGCGTTCATATGTGCTTCGTTTTCGCTGGAGGAAACAGCTGTGGTGTGAGGAGGGGTGAACGCAGCGAAAACTTAGGCTACAACCGATTGATATTTTGTAAACTGTATTTATGACAAAGAACAAAACTGCACAGATGCAGCTATTACAACAATCTATCGTTAAACACACACCTTGTCCTCTGTTTCTCGCTCTGCTAGATTGAAAAAGAAAGCACAGAAAGACGGGGAGGATCCGACTGAAGTCTGCCACCGTTTTCATATGAAATTTAAAGGGGACTGAGGCGATCACGAATTCGTGTACAGTTTATGGAGCTAATCACAAAATTTTAGGGGGGCTGAGTAGTCATTTTAGCCCCCCTAAAAATGGCCTAGCGACGCCCATGACCACAGACCTTATTTCAGGCATTTATTCAAAAACCCATTAAAAAATACTCATTGCCTTTGGGAAGATGGAATCAGAAGTGCAAAAATGTTGATTTCCAGGCTTCAGGACTCATTCCTTAAAATTGAAAAAAAAGAAATAAATAAAAAAGAAATATGCACATCACCCTTAAATTTACTGACTTAACTGTTTGTTGTAAGACTGGATTCTGTGCAGCATCTGCTCTGTTTCAAACTACACAAACAGCAAGCCTGATTTCAGATCAGTACTGTACAGTAAATCTCTGGAGTCTGGAAATACATACAAGTGATTACTTTCAATGTTTACATTCAGTTTACGTTCAATGTTTGTTACTCTGTTTCATAAACACATTTTATTTCTTTAATAATATGTTTTCAGTGTCATATAAGATTTTGTTTAATATCTGTGGACAGTATGCACAGATTTTCTGTGCTGATTTGGGAGGAAATTGGTGCAGTTAAGCTGAGTTTAAATTTATTATCTATTTAAATGTAATAAAACAAGGCTGTGAGTATTTATTTAATTTAAATGTAATAAAACAAGGCTGTGAGTACTACAAACTTACAGTATGGGGATATCTGAATGCATTATCAGATCAGACAAAATATGTAACAATCAAAAACACGCAAAGGACAGGCGAAGTGGAAAACATTTTTGTCCCATGTGGGCCTGGTAATAGACATGAATAATGCATTTAAAAATGGAAAAACTGAAGAAAAGCATTGGACTACTCTGCTGGCTCTCATTACAGAGAAAACCTAGCTAGCATTGATGTTACAACTCAATAGTCTAGGGGAGATCTTCTTAATAAGTTTCTACCTAGGGTCTGCTCGTAACTATCTTCAGATATTATTTTAAATGCACCAAGGGGAAGGACAGCAACAGATAAACAAAACTAAATCCAAAAATATTCATACATACAGTAGGCACACTTTGTGATAAGACTTAATTTTTCCATATTTACCCAAAACACCTGTTCAGAATGGCTATTAAACCTGTGCGTATCTTTACAAGTGGCAGTATAACAGCCCTGCAACATCAAACTGATAATTTGTCTGAGTGCTTTGTGTGAGGGATAGTATTTGAGCTTGTAATGGAGCAAATCTTTGGTGCTAATTAATATTGATCGGGGCGTGTGAGAGTGAAGCACACAAACCCTTTCATTGATCTCAGGCTAAGAGTTCATTTCAATGCCATCATATTTACACTTTGAATTTTTATTTAAAGCATTTGAGTGCTTTTGAGTAGAAGTTAGATCTTGATTTGTGAACCTCACTTTAATTCTCTATGTCTCTCTCTCTTTCGCTTGCTGGATATGGGTGATAGTATAGTAAAGTTGGGGACTGAATTGATGGTGTGTGATTCTCTGAGTCGGTGTGCTGGATGAAGCTTTTGCTCTGGATCAATCTCTGACCATATAACGATTTAAACTGAGCTGTCTGTCTGCATTTAATTGAACTCACAATCAATTTCCGCCACTGCACAGAGGATAAGCACAATCTCTCTGCCCGATGTTAACGCCGTCACACTCCACACCTGCATTCCACAGCATTCAACTATTATTTGTGCTTAAAGGGATAGCTCACCTGAAAATGAAAATTGGGTCATCATTTACTCAACTTTAAAGTCGGCATGAAATGAAAACTCACCCTATGTATTTTTAAATGCATGTTACAGTACGTTCCATTTGTAATTTTTATTTTTTTTACCTCACTATGTTTAATCAAAATGCCATAACTGGACCTTCCAGTGAAAATGTCACTTCTATTTGGTGAAATATGCAGGACTTCTCTAATCATATATTAAGCTACAATGTCACTACAATGTGACAACGGCATTTTGAAATTTAGCCACTTGGGAAAGCGTCTTCAAAATGCCAAAACGTAGAGAAAAAGATTTTCAAATAT